ATATATATATATATAGAGTGTAATCTTTTTCGCTATCTCTAAAGTATAATTCTCTAACTACTGAGTATATGTCTTTTTGAAAACCGTCCCAAAAGGGTTAAGGAAACTGATCGCATCGTCGTTACTAAATGAACCTAACTTTTCCTTTTCCCTTTTTTGTTTTCTTTTAATTTCAGTGACGAATCACGGTGAAAGGGACCGATCGAGTTAATTCACGCATCATCCGAAATGGACGAGAATTTGAAAATCCCGAAGGAATTATGTATTGTTTTTCCTCTTTCTTTTGGTTTCTTAATTCTACGCGCGGCTAGTCATTAAATTCTGCTGCGGCATCGTTCTACTCGCGAAGAAGTGAATAGAAAAAAAGTAGAAGTAACAGGTAAACCAGTATTTCAACTAGAAGACTAAATCAAGGCTTTTACAAAGATTCATTGTATTCTCTCTTTCTTCTCTCTCTCTCTCTCTCTCTCTTTATTTACATCATTGTTCTTCTCGTGCGCTACGTGCCGCCCGATCTCGCTTGGACAATCTTTATATGCCGCTCTAGCGATGACAATCGGTCACGTTTGCTGATCGGATCGACGATCCACTACCACGCGGGAAAATTCGAAGGACTTGAAGAGCACGTTGGCTGCTCTGTGAACTGCTCGGTAAAAGACCATGCTCGAAAGACCGGCGCGATCTGTTTCTGTCGTTCGACGATCTTCGATTAATTCGCCTTTTATGAATGTACGAGGAGAAAACGAACGAATCTACGATCATGTGTACGCGATTCCGACAACTCGCGAGTCTGCTACTGATGATCATTGATGATTGGTACTACACCTTTTACATTCGTGAAATAAGATATACATTGTTACATTACGATAGGTAGACATTTAAGACATCCAGATACGAAATAAAAATATAAACGAGACAGAATGACAAGTAATTGGTCAAAGAAACGGAATGATCAGCTGCGAACTTCAAGTGTACCGTTTTATGATTACCACGTAATGCAGTTTTTTACATTTCGTAAAAAAGCACAGGCATCGAGGTCTTAGGCACATGTATTGTTCTACTAAACTTACACGTATTCCGTTTTTCTTTTTTCTGTTTTTTCTTTTCCAATTTCGCCGAATGCTTTCGAGCGTGCTCCAATCGCTAAACACAGCGTTGAAAATTTGTAAAGTCATACTAACCTTTTTTCAATTTGTTACTATTCGACTGGCAATCAAGAAAAGAATTCGATCAAAACAGGCGTTTGAAACGTGAATTTTAAACCAATGATAAATATATATCGACGTAAACTTCCAACATACAGCATCAGAAAGAATAATCGTTTAATTAAGCAAAAGTTTCCCACTCGCAGAAACTAATTAACTAATTGATCCAACAATGATCGGCATTGCACGAAAATTTCAGAATTTCAGAATTTCAACACTGGTTCGTTAAGCTTCTCGTTAACGTACACAATCACGAGCCTGCTCAGATCGATTTTGCCACTTCTCATCGATTCGAATGTTTTCCGTCTGTGTATATATTTTTCTACGTGTATCGTCGTACGTTCGTACAGATCTACTCAACTAA